CCGGAGCATCAGCAGCAAGTACTGTTACAATGCCAGTGCACTGATCAACCGGTGATTAATAATTCATTTTAAAAGAGTGGTTTTCCATCAGGTAATTTTGTCAAAATTTATGTCCGCGTAAAATTACAATTCAATGACGAAAATAGAAGGCATGAAAGACATTACAGAAATATTTACAAGCAGAGAATGAGATAACGGACAGTAATGGGGAAAGTATAATTTATCTGCTGCTTCTGAGTAATCTCATCAACCTCATCCCCGAGAGTTCTCCTGCATTGGACTGCAGCTCACTAGTTGCATGGCGGGCATAAATCTATTGCAAAAGACATACAGTAAAGCATCAATAGAGCAGATAGTGTGTGAATTATTCTGGGAAATATGAAGTGAATGAGGTACCAGAAAATGAGACAGGCTGTGGAACAGAAGGCAAGACAAAAGCGCCAGCTGTAAGGACGACCTTGAAAGACGGTGTACATGGAATATTAGAATTGTGTGGTAAGAGAGTGTGGGCTTCACAAAGTGTTTCCAGTCGTCTCCTGTTCTCTTTCTTTCATTGGCATTTTTACATGCTTGGGGTTAGGGTTTAGAAAAAAATTCTTCGGCAGAGAAATGGGGGATACGTGTTTTCATGTGAAAACAAAGTCCTTGAATTTTCTTACCCATGTAACGCTGATCCGACGCGATTCATTTGCTCATTCATTTCTTTATATGAATTCAAACACACTCGCATCCCTTTTGCACAAATGGAATGGCCACCAGTGTCAATTTGTTTGTGTTATCCATGTATCCTTTCAATAACACTTGTCTTCAATAGCATCACGTTGAGTTAGCGCCTATAGCAGCTGACTTTTGGCAAGAGGCAGGCTAGATATAGCCTGGACTGGTTCCTGGTTGATCACAGGGCACCTCCAGACACTTGAGTCTTCAATAAATGTAACATGTATGTTTTTTCAAAGGCGGGAGGAAGTCGGAGTAGGCGAGGGAGGACCCACCCGAGCACAGGGAGAAGATACAAACTCCAAACAGGAAGGATTAAGGACACGCCAAACGTTAACCCACAATATTGCCCTTAATTTGTACAAATGTATAAATCAAGAAAATACACCACATCGAATTCCCAACCAATTCTGAGTGTATTCCAAAAGGCAGACTATTGTCATGAATGACATGAAATATGTTGCAAATCTTGTCAGACTTCAGTTCAAGCAACATACGCAGACTCACATTTAAAGCTATGTGAGTGTTTTGTTTATAAGTTTAACAGTGGTTAATTTTTTTTTTTAAACTTACGTGAAAATAAAGATTAGAAATTTAGATGCAGCAAAACGGATCACCTTCACCCAACCATCCATTTCGTCCATTTTCATTAGCCATTGACCTCATTAGGATTGTCGGTGAGCAGCAGTCTAGCAAATTCCATTATGCTTTTGCCTTGGGCTCCATTTTTTTGTGACCGTCACAAAATTCTGCACGGGATGTGGAGTTACTCTGCACGGAGGCATGTTAGACCTGATGTTGGTAATTTTACAGTCAAACACAAGACGGCAGATCTGCAAGAGAGTGCTACGCCACTGTGGGAGTGGTCACATGGCAAACACGGCCAGTCAAAAAGGCTCCTTTCAATCCCTAGAAATGCAGCATGTGTTGCGCAAAAGAGTCTCCACAGGGCAGAAGTACATCAGCACCATGTGGCCGTTTGGAGATGAAGCAAGCAGTTAACCTCTTTTTTGAAGAAACTAGATTATATTCCAAATTGCTGCTTTACTCTATGAGCTGTAAACTGCCACCATCTAAGAAGCCCATCTCAAATTTTTTGCTCACAAGTCCATGCAAAAAGAAAATCAGTTGAACAGCTCGTATTTTTTTTAAAAACTCCTACATAAGGCTGGCAGCATCCCAGAAATTTTTTTGTTGCATCTCTCATTATCTATTGTATCACGCATCTTATCAATTAAAAAAAGGAATGGCTACGCTACAACAACAACAATTCTATCCCACAAACCAAAAAGACAACTATTAAGACTCTCCACTTTAATGATGATGTTGGTGCAAAGATCCGACTCATGGTAAAACAAGCAGCATGTCTTTCAGTGTTACAAATAGGATGTGCTCTTTATTTGTGTAGCCTTGCGGTGACCTCAACGTGACAAAGCAAACAACATGAACAAACGTTAAAGCCTAAGAAATATACCACCCCTTTGATCCTCACGTTAATATTTGCGTACACTATTGGGATCAAGAAAACTGAAAGGCGAAAAATATTTACCCTGAACACATCCGCTGAATGATTTCACAGGTAGATATGTGTCACATGTGAGGCAAATAAATGTTCCTTTTTAACTGTGAGTAATTGAATGACAAATAAAAAATAAGACTTTGAATGAATCAAATGGTAACTGATTTGCCATTTAGACAAACATGATGCCAAGTTTCTATTCATAGTGGCACTGACTGATGTTTTTTTTTCCAACGAAACTACAATTCAAAAGACATACGTGACTCATTGAAAGACAGATGAAGGTCCCTATACGACCACGGCATAAAAATACTTCAACCTCAACAACCTTTCTGAAGACCGACACGGGCCTTAAATCCTTGATATGCTCAAATGGCGTGCAATATTATTTCATGACATCCACTTGAGAGTAATGTACTTCTGAAATTATCGTCCCCAAGTTTAGTTTTGTTCTCCCATTTTAATATTCTAATTCCATATTACTGACATCAAGACTGCAAACTGGAGCACATACTCACATAGAGGGGCACTTTCCTTCTGCTCAGCTCCATTTTTTGCTGCACCTGCTGGAAGAAAATGGCACTTAAATAGGCATTTGAGAACAAAGGATACTTGATAATGGTCACTTTATTTTGTTAGGTCTGCCTCTCCAGATCTTGAAGGGATTAGCAAACATTATCTGTTAGAGGTGGAGTTTTACTGTGACATGATTATCTTTTCATGAAATTAAGTTGATCATCGTAAATATTTGACTTTTTATCCAAGTGTACATGCTGTTCCACGAGACCTAATTTGATAAACATGCACAATAGTCACTAGGATTTTTTGTGTGTGTGTGTGTGTGTGTGTGTGTGTGTGTGTGTGTGTGTGTGTGTGTGTGTGTGTGTGTGTGTGTGTG